TGAATATTGAAAGCGGCGCAATTGCCAACTAACAAATAGAATGATAGGTTAATTTTAGTGAAATCTTTGATATTAGCCAAGATAGTTCGTCAGAGCTAAATGTCCTGTTGTCTGGTCGTTCTCTATCGCCTCCACAATTGCACACTCTCTACATAACTTTGGGTTTTCTAAAAGGCATTTGGCTCTAATAACCTTTTCTCCGTTATTTGCGAATTTGCTGACAAGTAAGTTATCTTACAAGAGATTTAAAAGTTATGTTTGAAACCATTGTGCAACATTTAATTTTAATAGAAAAGATCAAACAAGTTTTATATTCTTGTTTCTAGTTCATTTTGAACTTTTGGACGTTTACTCTTGCTCAACAAAAGCCTTATCTTCATCCACTTACGAGCGTGCAGCTAGTTACTTCAAACAGCGCAATCAAAACCTCCCCTTTTTTCTGAATTTGATTTACCCAAATAGGGTATTTTAGAAATACCAGAGGAAATTTCAAGGAACTTTTTTTTTAAATAAAGAAAATTTGGTGTTTCAAATGTTTATATGGGTGAACAAGTCACTGTTTCTGAGCCTGCTGGCCGGGTAGAGCATTTCAATGTGGCCCACCATCGGAAGCTGTCCTCTTCCGCTGCCGCTCCCCCAAAGAATCTAATTATGACATTTTTTTGAGCTTTTAAATCTTTCAAGTAATTCATCTAGCTTACCTGAGGAGGTCCCCCTGCGCTTAATATTGTTGAGCAGTTAAAAGCAAGGATAAGAAACGTAGAGCTGGACAAAAACATAGGTGTTTATGAGAAAATTGCAAATGTCCACATGACTGAAATCAGTGGAAGATTGAAATGTGTTGCCAAAGCATGTCGAATTACTTTCGATGATCATTTTATACCCAAAAATTGACATAGTTCTTTGCTTCAGTAATGGTACCACCTCCAAAGATTATTATAAATAAATTCTAAGTCTATAAATCAATAAATATTCAATGGGAAAGCTAAAGAGTGCAGGACACCTCTGTAAGTAGTACAAGGGATAAGTGGGCAAAGGAATATCAGCTCAAAAGAATTGAAGAATGAAGCTTACATGAAATATTTCGAGATTTTCTACACCAAAAAAAAGGCTCTCCTCATCTCCTCCAGATCGCTGCGTGAAAGTGATGATCTTCAAGAATCAAATAGCTTGAAATAAAACAGTCGAAGAAGCCAATGCCTGTCATAATCATTCTGCTACAAATTCTGCAAACATTCTCCTCTGGCTGAATATCACTAAAAGTAGAGGCTACAATAAAGTTAGGTTTAAAGCGATATAGAGAAGATTCCAGTTATTCTCCATTGTCAACGAATTACCGTATTTATCCAACTCAACAAGAATGGCATGATTACCAAATATGAATAATAATCACAAATTATAGATGTAATGAAGTGAACCTCATTAAGATGAGAATAATGCTGTTAAATTTAATGGCCATGTACTATCTGTTGACTTCCAGAACAATAACTCCAAAAAAGTTCAAACAAAATGATCAGGTTGAAATAAGTGTGAACTGTTGTATCATAAAATGGAATAGCAAAACTGTGACATTTCCGCCAAACTGCTGTACCATAAACCTATTCTTCAATATATCCTCCTTATATTAAATTATTTCATAAATCTAACATGTTTTAATGATCAAATGAAGATCAAACTTGCAATTTTAGAACTCATCAAAAATGTGTTGATTGAAATTTCAAGTTTAGTAGTAGTTTAGAACGGTTTTTGAAGGTGGCAACTGCTAGAGCACAGAACTAGACCACTTTTTGGATATAAAATGATTGCCAAATATCATTCCACATCCGTTGGCAACTTCACAGTCCAATCTTCCACTAATTTTCGTCATGATATGAACTCCGGCTATTTTCTCGTAAACTTCTACATGGATTCATTCCAGCTCTATGTTCTTCTTCTCCTCGCTCTTATCTGCTCAACAACATTAAGCGCAAGAGGACCTCCTCAGGTAAGCTAGCTGAGTTGTTTGAGTTTCAATTAATCAAAAGAATATTATAATTAGAATTTTAAGGAGAACAGCAATAGAAGAGGACAGCCTCCGATGGATGGGCGAAATGGCCAAAATGCTCCACCCACAGGAGGACGTGGCGGACCGGGACGTGGGCCGAAAGGGGGACCTCAACAGCAGGCTCAAAAACAGTGATTGCTTCAACACGAATAAACATTGAAGCTTGTGCTGAGTTTTTGTTTCATCTAAGAAGCTAAAAGAGGAAAAAATCTGTTTTTATTTTGTTGTCTAGATAGAAACCACGTTGTATATGTTGGCTTGCAGCTTTAACAAAGGCAATGCTATAACATTATTTAAAGCCAGTAGGATATGTGCGAAAAGTCCTTTGACTGCTAAGATTTACATATATAGGAAAGTTAGCACTAATCTCCAATATCTTCTGAACAAGAAACTGCATAATTTCCCCTTCATCATTTCTTTTTCTAAATTTTGCTGTAGTTGCAGTCAAGAATCAACATTTTTTCGCCATTTCCGATCAGGATGCTTTGGAGTCGGAGAAATACTGTAAGAAACCTGCAAATAGTCACAAAGATTTTAACTTTGCAACAAGTGTTAACTTACTCTAACCTAGAACCTTGGAAGACCTTGTGCTGAATTAGCTTTTGCCGTTTTTAATCAAATAGACTATGTTTTCGAAGAGATAATTTATATAGTACAGCGCTCCATCACGGATGCGTAAACTTAACGTACCGTGGCACAAACTAACGAAAATCGTACCAC